CCCAGCTCTGAGTTCAGAGGGCAGGTAACACTGCCCTGGCACTCACATCTCATTTTGCCGGGTGCTAACACCTTCCTCTCCTCCTAGTTTACACAGCAGTTCTCGGATTGTTTACAAAAAAACCCACATGGGCTTGGATATTTCTTTCAGTCCAAGCTAAAAGGCAGTTGAAATGCTTTTTAAAGCTGCCCAATTCCAGCCTGAGCAGACAGATCTTAAAATTAAGACCCAGCGGTCCACTTCGTATTCACAGGTATTTCCTAGTTAAGGACAGTAAAATATCTTTTATATCAGCACATCTTCACTCAGGGATGGTCCTAGTGAACCAAATGGTTTTTTTAAATACAAAAAGAGGTATTTTACTTAATAGACTTTGTAACTATTAGGTACAAAAACATCTATGTTAAAAACAAACAAAAACTCCCCACCCTTCCCAAACCTGTGTCTGGGAGTAAAGTTATTTGTCCTTCCCTAAAAGATAAAGCTCCACAGGCTCCTCAAATGGCTTTAGAAACACATAAAGTTGCTGTTGTTTCTCTCCACGTACCACTACAGATTTTACAAAAGTCCAACTTTAAAACCTAGTGCTTCATGACAGACATCAGCCAAGGTGATGAGTGTTCCTAACACACAGTCAGAATTCATACTGGTGAATCACAGAAACACAGGATGGTTTGGGTTAGAAAAAGGACCTTAAAGATCATCCAGTTCCACCCCCCTGCCACGGGAAGGGACACTTTTCACTAGACCAGGTTTCTCCAAGCTCCATCCAACCCGGCCTCAAAACATTCTGGGATGAAGAAAACCACCTGGAGAGTGACTGCTTTCCAAGAAAACACCACAGGAACTAAATACAGACCACTTGAGAATGTAACCATGGGAAAAAAACAAGGAAAAAGCAAATGCCAGACAGGACAACAGCTGTATGGCACAAACTCACAAGCCAAGGAACAGGGGAGTCACCCAGAAGTCCACAGGCTGTGGATTTAACAGATTCACCCAGTTACTCACTAGACTGAGTAACTCTACAGAAAGATTGTTGTTAAGCAGACCTCTAGAACCAGGAGAGCAGAAAAGGGCTGGACAATTTAGAGCAGAAAAGGGCTGGATAATTTAAGGTGATTTAAACAGAAGACCCTTCTAATAAAATATCCCTCGTTGTTATGCCCACAGAAAACAAGAAGTAACCCAGCTGCAGGTTACTCACTTATCTGAAAACCTACACTAGTAATTTTCATCCTCTTGCACCATTTTTGCTGGTTCTACAACACTAATTAAATAAATCCCAGAGGTCACAAGGTAAGGATTAAATTCTCAGTAATTAATCTGCTCAAATTGTAACTCAGGCTGATATTCCTGATGTTACCAACGAATCCTGTGGTGAGCTTAAAGACGTGGAGCGAAAAGATATTTCAGCACATGCCAAGCTACAATCAACGTTTTCCTGGCATTGAGATGTTCCAAAAGCTGAGGAACTGTCAGCTGAGGAACCAACTGCTCAGTGTTGTAGCTGTGTGATAGCAGCCTCCCCTGGAGTACAGCACATACAGGAAAAAGGGCAGAATAACAAAGATAAAAGCCTTTGACCTTTGCTCTGAACTGAACCATGAATCAGCAAAAACAGCCAGCAGTTTCTGTACTCTTGAACCTGCACCTCAACATATTTTAAGTCAGTTGTGCTCATTATACTTCATGCTCCTATGGCCAGAGAGGAGCATTCTCCTGCCTTACTCATGGGCTGGTGTAAGAGCTGGTTTGTCACCACCAGCTCCCTCCCAGACTAAGGCAGACCAATGTAGCAGCTCCCCTTTGGATCCAGAATTATCAACACACCATCAGATGGGAATAATTTGGGAATAACGGCTACACCAAGGCCTTCAAACGCACAGATGACACTGAATCTCTGGGATGTGGCCTTGCTGTTCTCTCAGATCTGGATGCAGCAGTTGGGGGGGAAGAAAGGCAAGAGCATCCATGTACACAGGGAACAGGTGAAAGATAAGTTAAACCACAAGTCACTGAAAGAGCCTTGAAATACCAAAAGATGATCTTAGTCTTGCAAGGGAGTGGACCTGCTAATAAGAAAAGACTTGAGCACTCCCCTTAATCAGCTTTCTGAGGACTAAAAATCATCCCCGTCACTAGTCCCCTCAGGACCAGGAGTTTATTTCTCCCCTGCCTCTGGTGCTAACCTCTGGGAATCTCTCCTTCCAAGCACCAGAAACCGTCTCTGCACAGTGTATGCTGTCACCTGAAACATCTGCTCCTCAAGCTTAATGAGACTGAATCAGCTTCCACAATGGACAAGGCACAGTGTCAAGAAATTAAACCTTTAAGCTGCTGACGAGCGCAGCCTCTTGCTCCCATTACCAGGAGCAATCCTGCCTCACCTTACAGCTCTGCTCGCTGCTTCCCCTCTTTCTCTACCTCACAGCTACAAGGATGGAAGCAGTTTCCTCATCCCTTGGATGATCTGCATCTTCTCTTCCCAGTAACCACATGGCAAATGCATGGAGTGCCAACAGCAGGGGCTTCAGGGTGGTGACAGGGAGAAAACCACCTCCACTTTCTGCTCAAGGAGCTGTGCCCAGGCTCCCCTAACTCAAAGCACGTGTGGACTGAACCCTCTGTTCACTCCTCAAGCTCAGTGTCTGTCTGCTGGGGCAAGGATTTGAAAGACAAATTGTCACCGAAGTAAAATGTACCACACGTTTATGGATCTCCCTCCTGTAAAGATGCTGATAAATAAGAAGGAAAAGAACTAAAAGCCCTGGTTTTCATCTCTGAAACACTTCTGCTGTTCCTCTGGGACTCCCAACTAAGTCTCAAAAATACGCAGAGGAGATGAGAGAAACCTGCCTGCCCCTCTCCCAAGCCCATGCCAGGACACACTTGGCTACTCTGCAGCTCACTCTACTCCGTAACATCTCCCTTGTCCTTGAAGGAATGCAGTTGTAAAGCAAGTCAGCCCTCAGGGACAGGTGGTGAGCAGTGGCACAGCTTGTCAGCACCAGGACAGCAGGTGCTCACTTGTCCAGTGAGACCCTGGGAGACATTCCCACCAAAAAAAGGGGCAGAGAGCTGGAGGTGTCTGCTCCTCTTTCATCTCTGTTCCCCAAGGCCCCTCTCCTCCAGCAAAGGACACATGAATACAAGGGGAAGGGTGGGAGAGGAGGTGTATCCCCCACCTCATTTTGAATTTGAGGGGGCGAAGCAAATTCCCCTCTATTGGAAAGGTAAGAATTAAGGACTGTGTGTGTGAGGTGCCTGTTGCATCCCCTCCAACAGAAGGGAGGAGAAATCCCATTTCCTAACCCCTGCCAGTGGATAGGTGACGGGAAAGGAAATATAAAGCACAGCATCATCATTTCCCTAGTAGAGAGGACAACGGTCACAGAGGTGAAGCCATGTATTAGCCTTTTTTTTTCCATCATTCCTCACTAAACATGAGGGATCAGAAGTGTGTGTGTGGTGGGGAGGCAGTGGATAAACAACTGATGTGTCTACCCTGCTTCTTCTGAAGGCAGGCTGTGCAGGGAAGGAAAGGGGGAGTGCTGAAAAAAAAATCCACTCACACTCACCCTTTGCTTAGGAAAGGGGAAGCTTAAGTAAAAAGGTTCTCAGCCACCTTCTCTCCCACTTTCTTCCACATCTGCCAAGAAACGAGAAGATGCCCAGACCTCCCTTTTCCATGTCTCTGTTTGCCAGGTGTGTGTGCTCAGATCCCCAGTTCTCTCTGCATGCCAAGTGTGAATGCCCCAGATCATCTCCCTCAGGTGTGAGCGCACAGGAGAGAGGGGAAGATGCTCAGTTCCCTTTGCTGCTGGACGTGGCAGAAGTGCCCAGAACACCCTGAGTGGGGGGTACTCAGTACCTCTCATTCTTCTAGGGGGAGGGAAGGGAGGGTGGTCCAGTGGCCCCTTTCTCCAGTGAATGCTCAGGGATGCTCATGTCACTTCCCTGACCAGTGCAGCTGGGGGGGTGGGATGCCCCGCGCCGAGTTCCCTTCCCTCCTCATCACATCCTTGAGACTTGGAAGGGGAATTCCCAGTGCCTCCTCTTTCAGGTATATGCTAGAGATGGGCACGCCGACTCCTCTCTCCCTGGGGAATATTTTGTCCTGTACCTCTTATATAGGAACATACAGGCAGCAAGCGCTGCCAGGTCCCCCCGGCCGGCCTGTTTGACAGGGAGTGCTCAGTTCCCCTTTCCCCTACGCGGGTTCGATGGAGGGTCAGGAAGAGCCGCCCGGCGTCCCCACGGCGGGGTCACCCCGTGCCGGCTCTGTGCGCACGGGGGATGCCCAGAATCCCTCGCAGGGAGCGAGGGGCAGCCCGGCCACCCCCCGGGTGTCCCGCCCCGGGATCCCCCGGCCCCCCCGGCAGGGACTCACGGTTCCAATAGACGGGGTAGCTCTCTGCGCTGGCCACATCCACCTCGTAGAGCCCGCTCCGCACGCACACCGGCTCCACGGCCGCCGGCTCCCCGTCGCCGCCGCCGCTGCCCGCCAGGGCGCGGAACGCCAGCTCGATCCGCAGCGAGTCGTACCCGATGAAGGGCTTCCAGGTCTTGCGGTCCTCGCGGTAGAACCAGCGCACCTCCTCGGCGCCCAGCTCCCGCACCACCTCATAGCGGGGCCGGCCGCCGCCCGGCCGCCGCCTCTCGGGCAGCGCGGTGGCCGCCAGCGAGAAGCCGCTGCCGCCGCTGTCGCTGCTGCCCAGCCCCGCGCCCTCGCCCTCGCTGCCCTCGCCGCCCGTGCCCGTCGAGTACCGCAGCGACGCGCCGGACTCGGCCGAGTCGAAGTCTCCGCCGGCGGCCTCGTCGCTGAGGCTGCGCTCCCGCGGCGGCGCCGCCGGCTCGGGGTCGCCCTCGGAGGAGGAGGTGGAGAGCGCGGCGCGGAGCGGCGGCTGCGGGCGGCGGGGCGGGCGGGCGCGGGCAGCCGCCGCCGCCTCGTCCTCCTCCTCCTGCTCCGCCGCTGCTGCCGCCGCCGCCGCTTCCTGCTCGGCGCGGCTCGGCCGCTCGTAGCCGCCGTAGCCGCTGGCTGAGCCGAACAGGTCCCAAGCGCCCTGCGGCGAGCCGGGCTCGGGGTAATCCATGCCGCAGCGCGCCCTGCCCGGCGGGGCCGCCGAGCCTCGCCCC